GTGGTGGGTAGTCGGTTGTGCGTATCAGGTAGCGAGTAGGGCGCAGGGCGTAGCGAGTCGTGAGTAGTGAGTACTGTGTACGGAGTAGCTAACGAGTAGTGGATAGTGAGTAGGGAGCTGTGGGTAGTGAGTAGTGAGTAGTGAAGTGTGAGTAGTGAGTAGCGGGTCGTGGTTAGCGGGTAGTGAGTAGTGATTTGTGATTCGTGAGTAATGTGTCGTGAATTGTTTTTTTTATTGAGTATTGAGTAGTGGGTACTGAGTAGTGCGTAGTTTGTAGTGAGTAGTGAGTAGTGAGGAGGGAGTAGGGAGTAGCGAGTAGTGGGTACTGGGTAGTGAGTCGCGGGTAGCGAGTAGTGAGTCGAGAGTAGTGCGTAGTGAGTAGTGAAAAGTGAGTAGTGAGTAGCGAGAAGTGAATTGTGGTTAGTGAGTCGTGCGTAATGAGTAGTGAGTGCTGTTTGGGGCTGGGGTTTGGGTTTGGGGCTCGGGTTCTGGGTTAGGGCACGGGTGAGGATTAGTTCTGAGGGGTGGCAGCGGTCGGGTTCGGAGACAGGGGGCGCCGTGGCGAAAGGGGGGGAAGGGGGGGGGCCTCGAATTTGGCGGCCAAAAGTGGGGAGGGGGGGGGTCAGACCCTCCCCCCCCCCTTTTGAAAGGGGGGGGGGGGGGGCCCGACGACGGACCGGGAAAGGGGGGGGGGGGGTCCCAACGACGGATCGGGAAAAGGGGGGGGGGGTCCCGACGACGGATCGGGGAAAGGGGAGGGGGGGTCCCCCACCCCCCTTGGGGACATCCAGCGGCGCGCCCTCGAAAAATAGTCTGGTGACGATTTGTCCTGCTCGTTTACCGTGTTTTTTCTGTCTTCCAAACTACGCCTGCAGGGGGGCCGAGGATCGGGAGGTTGCCGGGCGTGCCTTTCTGGAGCGCCTGGAGAGACCTCCGCCCTCCGTGGGGGCCTCGGGGTCTCCGCTCCGTGGCCCTCACGGAACCTCTGGACCGGGCCGCCTTGCGAGGGCGTGGGCGGAGCGGGGGAGGTCGGCCCGATCGAGAGGGTCACGGACAGAAGCAGAGGAGGAGAAGGTACCCGTACCGCTGCCTCTCCCTCGCTGTCCCCCTTTTCGGCCTCCTCTGAAGCTTTCGCCGCCGCCGCTGGATTCGCCTCGAAATCCTCGTCAGAACGCACCCCAGGAGAGGTCCAGGTAGTAGCGGTATCGGTGCCTTTCGGCTTCCTTAAAATCGGGTGACCCAAGAGGGGTTCCAGCTGAAAGGGTGTGGTGCAAGAGATTTGGGGCAATTGTATTGCAAGTGCACTGCGCCGGAGAATTGTATTGCATTGTATTGCAAGTAATGCAGTGCACACGAAAATCCAGCAATACATTTGCGCCCCAGAATGCATTGCACGCCCCAAATGTATTGCAACCCCACAAATCTATTGCACCAAGTCTATTGCACCACCCCCTTGTCGCTGGACCCCCTTTTGAGTCAATCCGACTAAAGGATCGGTACGAAGGCGAACATCGAAGAAGAAACATCTGCATAAACATACACTTTTGGCGCTCCTCGCGGATTTCTCGGATCCGCGCTGGGCCTCCCCGGCGACGCCCCCAGCGCCGCCACTGGCGCGCTCCGCGCGCCAGGGAGGGAGGTCTGTGCGGAGCGCCACAAGTTTATGTTTATGCCGTTTTTTCTTGCTCTAGAACAGCGGCTCTTGCCCATTCCGATTGCTGGCCGCGTCGCCGCGGACGTTGTCCATTTGAGACCGAGGGCCGCCTGCCCAGCAGCGGCCGCAGTCTGTTCTGGACAGTACTTGCTGTTGGGCATCGTGCCCACTCTTTCCATAGAGTGGAAACTCATGCCAAGAAACGCCCTGCTTGTCTCCAGGGCACCCTGGGTTTCTTGGACTTCGATATTTCTTTTTTGCTATGGAAGGCTTGACATTCTCACACCCAAGACCAATGGACGTCCTGGGGTCGTAGGGCTGGGTTTCTTGTGGAAGGTGTCTTGTGGTCGAGCTCCTACGGTACCCATCTCGGGCGTCCAGAGGTGGGGTCGGAGGATCGCGCCGCGCCGCCAACGCCTGTTTTGACGATGCGGCGCGACCTGGAGCACGGTTTTGTTTTCCCGTCGCGACGTCACCAGCGCATATCGCAGGCCGACCTTCCGACCGCAGCTGTTGTCCTGACCGACTGGGTCGGCCTTGGGGGGAGGGCTCCTCCACCTCCTCCCTCATTCTTCTAGGCCTTCGCCAGGCTCCGTCCCCTATTACGTGGAGGGCAGGCCGGCATGTTGGCCTCGGTCGGTCATGAGCAGCGTGTTTTCTTTGAGAGGATGCGCGTCACCTATGCGCGCGTGTGCGCAACCAGCCTTGCCAGGCACCGAAGAAGATCATTTGTTTGCCGCTTCCTCCTTCCCTGGCTTAGCATGCAAACACTTTTCCAAACTTGGTCCGGATATCCTTGGAAGTTTTCCGTCCAGAATGGCGGTTGGCAGGGCCAGCATGCTGCCGTCGGGGCCAGCAGATCCCGCACTGCAAAACTTAGAATGCCATTGCGGCGAGGCGGTGGAACCGTGCGAGGCGGCCACGTGCGTCGGTGTTCCTGCTCCGGGAGTCCATTTCGAAGGCCTTCCGGATCCCGGGGGGCCCCGAGAGCCAAAGCTTGGAGCTGTGCACAGGCAACTCCTGGAGGAGGAGGAGGCGGAGGAGGAGGAGGAGGCGGAGGAGGAGGAGGCGGAGGAGGAGGAGGAGGAGGAGGAGGAGGCGGAGGCAGAGGAGGAGGAGGCGGAGGAGGAGGAGCAGGAGGAGGAGGAGGAGGAGGCGGAGGAGGAGGAGGAGGACAGTTCCTGCTGGCCTCAACAGAGCCCCAGGGCAGTCCCCCGGGCGGTCCGAACGCCCAGACCCCAGGGCTGGGAGCGCCGCAGGGGCGCCGCGTGGGAGCGTCGAGGCCAGCTCAGACTGGCGTTGGAGCCGTCGGGGCACGCAGCGAACACGCGTAGCCATCGGTCGTTGAAAGTAACCGCATGCCGATGATAATAAAGGGACGCCAAGGATGTCTCAAAACGTGCTCGGCTTGGTCTCCTCTTGATCATCTCTTACTTCGAGATTATGCTGAGGTCTGCTGGGCTACTTTTATTATCTCTCCCTGAACCCCGAACTTTATTATCCCCTAGTGTTTATTCTCACGGGCATGAGGTTATGTCAGAGTGAGTGGGCCGAGCGGTCATTCACTGTCCCTGGGCGTGGGGCTGGAGTGAGAATCCGTGGTGAGGATCATGCTTGTTTTGCGCGGCTGTTGTTGTTGTGGCTGTTGTTGTTGTTGTTGTTGTTGTTGTTGGTGGTGGTGGTGGTGGTGGTGGTGGTGGTGGTGGTGTTCGTGTTGGTGGTGGTGGTGGTGGTGTTGTTGGTGGTGGTGGTGTTGGTGTTGGTGTGATGTTGTTGTTGTTGCTGCTGAAAGTTAATTGCTAACCAATTGTTATTGTTGGACCCCCCCCCAAGGTGCACTGGCGCTCTCGCCCAGCTACGTTTTCATTGAAAATGAGGCTCACGCTCGAGCGGTTTGGGGGGGCGCCAAAACGGGCCCCCCAACAACAACAACGCTTCCGCTCGAGACTTCGTCCTTTTTAACTCTGGGCTGATGCTCTTGCTCGCCGCCGAAAGCCGCCGCTCCCGCTCGAGGGTGCTCCTCGCCGCCGAAAACCGCCGTCCCGACAAAACCAGCGCTCCCGCTCGAGACTTCCTCCCGTTTTTCCTTGGACTTGCGTGCTACTTTTTCTCTCATCGGCGCCGCCCCCATCAAAAAACAAAACGCTCCCGTTCGAGGTGCTCCTCCTCGCCACCGAAAACCGCCGTTTCAACAAAACCAGGTCTCCCGCCCGAGACTACCTTCCGTTTTACGCTGGACTCGCGCCCTACTCTCTTCAGCGTTGGTGCCGCTCCCAGCAAGAACAAGGCTACCGCTCGAGGCTTCCTCCTTTTTCCCTTGGGACGGTGCTGTTCCTCGCCGCCGACAGCCCCCGTCCCGACAAAACCGCGGCTCCCGCTCGAGGCTTCCTCCCATTTTACTTAAGGCGGTGTTTCTCCTCGCCGCCGAAAACCGCCGTCCCAACAAAACCAGCGTTTCCGCACAAAACGTCGGTTTGTTTTACGCTGGACTAGCGCCCTACTCTCTTCAGCGGCGCCACTCCCAGCAACAACAGCGGCCCTGCTCGAGGCTTCCCCCATTTCTATTCAGGGCCAGGTCCTTGCCTCGCCGCCGCAGCCCCCATCCCCACCAGGGCAATCCTGTCGCTCGGTACTCCCTTGTGCTTTACCCTTGGCTGGGGCGCTACTGGCGGTCTCGCATCGGCGCAGCAAGGCGCGGGCATGTGCGCTCGAGGCGGGATGTGTTTTCGAGGCAAGACCTCATTGGGCGGGAGATCTGGGGATGGGAATAACGGACCCCGCTGTAGAACAAACATCCCCCATGATGGGGATGGTTACCATGATGGTCGCTTGCTTCGTGTGGAAACGCATGAGGGCAAACTGATGGTTGAACTCTCATTTCTGAACAATGGTCCACAAAGCCGATCTCCCGTATTTTCCGCAGTCCTTTCTCTCGTAAGGGGGGGGGGCCTCGCGCAGGGCGCCCGCGCATGGTCGACGTGGTCCTGGCGGCCACCGCCCTGGGCGCCAGCGCGCTCGGCCCCGCCGTCCTCGTCCCCCTGGCCGCCGCTGGAGGCTACTGGCTGTCGGGGCTCGGACGGCCTGGGAGCAGTCCTGCTCCGGCTGTGGGGGCACAACCCGCCTTCACGTGCGCCTGCCCCCCTGAGGGCTGGCCGCTGTGGGGGCTCGTGCTCGCCTTCCTGCTGGGGGGCAGCTGCGTGCTCTGCTGCGTGGGCTGCTCCACGGCAGCCGCGGGCCTGGCCTGGTGGTGGCGCGACCACGCCGCCGCTCGCAGGAGGCTCGAGGATCAGGCTCAGGCGCCGAACAGTCTCGTCAATCGTCGGCGGCTCGCTGGATATCATCTGTGATGGAGGCCAGGACCGTCGACGGTGTGGTAGCTATCAGCGATGCGCCCGACGCCTACACCCGTCTCATATGGCTTCGGGACGAGGAGGAGGGCGCTCCAGACGGGGTGGCGATTGCGGCTGCTCTGGTACGCCGGCGCCGAGGTGGTCTCATGCTCGCAGTCCCAGGAGGCAGCATCCTGGAGAGCGAGCTCGCCGCGAGTCAGCAGGAGGAAGATCATGCTCTAGGGCCCTTCGTCAGGGCCAGAGTCCGAGGTGCAGGTCTGGCCAACCCCGCCAGTGCACTGGCCACCGTGTCGTTCGAGATCCTCCTCGTGGACGTCGACGAAGGGGTGCTGACGGAGCTGGTCCCAGAGGCCGTCTACTACGAGGACGAGCAGCACGCTCAGCGGGTCCTGCGGCACTTCACCCCGCGCGCGCGGCACTGGCCGCACGGGCGCACGGTGCTGGAGGAGTCGTCGCGCGCCTTCCGCTCGCAGTTCGGCGAGGAGGCCTTCGCGGAGTTCTTCACAGCGGGGGAGGAGGAGGCCGAGCCCGCGGTGGTCGTCGAGAGGGCCTCCGAGCAGCCTGCCGAGGAGGAGGCAGCGGAGGTGGCTGGCGTGCTGGGGGACGGCTTCGCGGAGTCGGACGGGCCGCTCGCGCCGCCGCCGCGGCGCCCTGGGAGGGCGCCCGCTCTGCAGCGCCCGCCGCAGCCCGCCCTCCCGCGCGCAGCCCCGCCAGGAGGACCTCTGGCCCGCGCCGCTGCGGGGAAGGTGGCTGCCGCCCCGCTGCTGGGAAGTGGAGGCGCCCTCGCGGGACGCTCACCGCCGACGGCCTTTGGCCTCGCCGCGCCGCCGGCGCCGTCGGCTTTCGGCCGCGCAGCGCCGCCGCCTGGGCCGCCCTCTCGCAGCGGAGCCGCGGGCTTCGAGTCGCCAGCTGCCTGGCAGGCCGTCCTGGGCCGTCACGGAGGCCCCCCTGGGCCCGAGCTGCGCGGTCTACGGACCTCGGCCGCGCCCGCAGGGGCTTTCCCTGGGACTGGGGAGGACTTCGCCGGGGAGGGCGAGGACGACGCGGTCGGGGGCGGCACGGAGATGGAACGCTTCGCGGCCGCCCTGATGGGAGCTGCCAGGGCCTTCAGCCAGCGCGGCGAGGAAGGCGGTGCCGGAGGCAACGACGACCTCATGGCTCGGAGGCGGCAACATCGGGGCCGGCGTGCGAGGCACGGCCCACCGCGAGGCGCTCATCGCGGCGAGGCGAGCCTCGCCAGGCAGCTTCTCCAGGTCGCTGATGGAGACCATGGCCGCGCAGGGCCGCTCCTCGCGCCAGCCCCGAGGCGTCGCCTACGATCCTCCCGAGCCCCGCCTGTGGCTCGAGAGGACAAGCGGGTGGTCCGAGTTCACGCCCGGCAGCCCCAACACGGTGCGGGACCTCGCCCTGATCGCGTGGCAGGTGGCGGACATCGTGGACCGCCTGTGGATGAATCAGATCGCCGAGGCCGCGGACTCTGCCGCGCTCCTGCTGATGGGCCTGGACCAGGCCAGGATCGACGGGGGCAGGCTCGACATGATGTGGCTGTGCCAGTTCGAGCGCGACCCTCCCGCCTCGCTCTTCGCGAGGGGCGGGCAGTCCGCAGTGGGGGCGCGACAGTTCAGCTCGCTGGCGAACCCACGCTGGTCCACTGTGAACCTCGCCTACCTGCGGGAGCTGGACCTGCTGGAGACCAGGAGGAGCGAGCTGCAGCGGCCTCAGGGGCGGACGCCGGTGCCCAGAGCCCGCGGGGCCCCCGAGCACCCGCAGCCCGAAGGCGCCGGCGTGCTCGGCCCCGGAGGCGGGGCCGCGGAGGCCGGCGCCAAGCCGCGGCCGCCCCGCAGGAGGCCAAAGCCGGCATCGCCGGCATGAGGGCCTCCCCAGACCGAGAGTGGGACACTGGAGGAGCCCCCGACGGACGGCTCCTCTGGCCAGGACCCGCCGACCCCCGCCATCATAATCAGCAACGTGGCGAGGTGGTCGCACCGCTCTCGCGGAGTGGGTCCTTACTCCGTCGTTTGCGGGCTCTGAGGACGAACTTCTCATCGTACATCGGAGCCTCCGTTTGCGCTGCAGCGCAGCTTCAGCAGCGGCAGCTCGCTGGGGCATCGCGCACCGCGCCAGTCTTTCCACTTCCTCTTCCTCCTGTTGATGGGCTGCAAGGGGCGGCTCGCAGGGAGGGAGGCTACGCTGACTTCGACGCGAAGGTCGAGCAGCTGCTCCTCGTCCTCGTGTGCGCCTTGAACTAGGTGTATGAGGGGCGGCCGTCTCGGCCCCGTGACCTTTCCTTCCTTCGGTCACCAGCGTCTTCTGTGCAAAAAGCTTGCCTGGATCGTCTGCGTTTGATATGTTGGAGCTGGTGTCGTAATGGAATTAACCCCTACTCACTCTTCGCCGGTCGCAAAGCCGACTCTACTTCACATTTCTTCAGCGATGCTATTGGTGCCTTTCAGGAGCATGGAGAGTTGACTTCTCACAGTGTTGGTGAATTGGACGTTGAGCAGTCAGATGCCTACGACAGTTATGCACGCGCGCTTTCAGATCATCTCAGAGCTGTTGATCCCTACGGTCTTCAGGGCCCCCGACGAGTTCACCCTGTCCCAGGAGCCTACGCCCCTCTTTGTCCTGAACGTCTGGTCCTTGAGGGTCCTCTCGCTCACTGGTCCATCGGGGATTTATTGGAGCCTCCGCTGTCCCTGGCCTTCGACGAGCCGGGGGTCCTGCGCACTAGCCGGGTTGACCCGTCGTCGTACCAGTGGGGGGACGCCAGCAAGCTCCCCCGGGCCCAGCAGTTGGCCTTCTTCCAGAAGCTGGACAAGGTGGGGCTCCTTGGGTTCACCGAGGGCCCTGTGGCGGCCCATGAGCAGTGTAACCCGTTCAACGTGTGGAAGAACGCCTCGCGCGACCGGTTGATCATCGACCGGAGGGGTCCGAACGGCCAGGAGGCGAAGATCGTGGGGGGGCCCGCCTCTCACCTCGCTGCTGGTGCTCGGCTCTGTGAACTTAGTGTTGTTCGGGGTTCTGAATGTCTTCGGGGCTCGTCTACGGACCGTCGGGATATGTTCTACCAGGAGCGCGTCACACCTGAGCGCGCCGCCACTAACGTCCTGGGTCCAGCCTTGCGAGTAGACCATCTACACAAGTCCCTTGGTGTCGATCCTGTACGTCTTCATTCCGCTGCTGCTGAGAGCCGTCCAGGTCGTCTGGGTCGTCGTGCCTACCTGGGAGACCGATTTCTTCTGGAGCCGGCGGGATCAGATGCTGGCCCGCGCGCCTCGGGGTTCGTACACGGCGCTCTGGCTTCCAATCCCATGGGGGACCACACTGCCGTTGATGTCACTCAGGGCGGCCACCTCAATCTTCTCAGGAGCTACGGCCTGCTTGCGCCCGAGAACTTCATAGATGGTCGTGCCCCCTTCCCCCGTGGTGACGTGGTGGAAGGCTTGTGTATTGACGACTATCTTGTTATTGGGCGTCACGCTTATCCTCCAGGCGAGTCTCGTCGGGATTTGGAGCTGTTCGATCGTGCTGGGCGTTTGGCTTACGTAGACTCCTCATTATCAGGCAGCTCCTCCAAGGAGGTCAGGGACGCCGAGCGCTTCGTGGTCGTTGGCGCTGAGGTCGACTCCTCAGCACGAATGGTAGAACAGGGGTACGTACCAGTGGGTGCGCCCGTCGAGCGGCGACTGCCCTTGGCGGAGCTCTGTCTTCGGGCTGCTCAGCTTCCTCGAGCCCCCGTGGCGCTGGTGGATACACTAGTGGGGTCCTTGGGTGCAGTGTTCGCTTACCGTCGGCCCCTATTCGTCTGCCTCAACCACGTATATAGCTTCGTCGCCCAGGACCGCACCGTCGATCATGTTATCCCTCGTGCCGTCAAGGACGAGCTTGGCCTGGCCTCTGTGTTGTCTATCGCCGCGGAGACGGACCTTACCGTCCCCTTCAGTGACGTCATCTACGCCACCGACGCCTCTCCTTCCTTTGGGGCCATCTGTACGTTGGGAGTCTCGCACGCGCTGTCGTCGGCCGATTGGCGCTGTGGTGAACGTCGAGGTGGCTATTCCCGTCTGGATAGCCGGGCCTGTGGAGTCCTGCGAAGCGCCGGCGCGCTCCCCCACTCCATGGAGAGCGCGCAGTGCGTCGAGTCGGATCTCCCCACCTACGTCCGCCGCGGGATCGCCATGGTCTTCGACTTCATCGAGTTCGCTGGCGGCTCTGGTGTCCTCACTCGGTACCTCGCGTCCCAGGGTGTCCTTGTCGGGCCTGTCATTGACATATCGTATTCTCGGCACTATGACCTATCGTCGTGCCGTCTGATGGAGTGGGCGGCGTGGATGCTGTATGAGGGCCGCATCCTTACCTTTGCTGCGGAGCCCCCGTGTACGACGTTCTCGCCCGCCGCTCACCCCGCTGTCCGCTCCTGCCGTCAGCCTATCGGGTTCAATCGCTCAGATCCCAAGACGCGCTTGGGCAACCTGCTGGCCTTCCGCTGTATGCTACTTATGTTGGTAGGGCTCCGCGTAGAAGCTCCTGGAGGGCTAGAGCAGCCCCGCCTGTCTAAGATGGCTTGGTTGCAGGAGTGGTCTCGCCTCTTGGCGCTTGGGGCCGCCGAGACCTGGTTTGCCTCTTGTGCCTACCATGACCCTGCCCTCGATGGTGCCGTCGTCTACCGCAAGGAATTCCGCTGGATGACCGCGGGCTTCCCCGAGTTCACTGAGATGGCGGCGCGCTGTCCTAACACACGGCGCCATCGCGCCCACACGCACGCGATTATCGAGGGAGCGGCTACTAAATATACTGCTACATATACTCGTGGGGTCGTCGTGGCATTGGGAGCTCGGTACTTGGAGGCTATCAGACGGCGACGAGAGGTAGGCGATAGTATGCGGCCCCCGGTGGGCTCTGAGCGGCTTGTGATCAACGAGCTGCTGATGTCGGGGTCTTGGGAGGAGCTCAGGAGATGGGCTTGGAGGTCCCCGGGGCACATTAACATCTTGGAGTCGAATGTCGTGGTGAATCTCTTGGAGGGTCTCGTTCGTAATGGTGGAGATCGTAGGTTCGCTGCGCTTATTGATTCCAGAGTCACGTTGTGTTCTCAGGCAAAGGGGCGGTCCTCGAGCAGAGCGTTGACTCGTCCTCTGGAGAAGTCCTGCGCCCTGCAGATCGCCGGGTCCCTCTACCCCTCCTACTCCTTCGCCCCCTCGCGGCTCAACGTTGCAGACGACCCGACGCGGCACCAGGCGGTCCGCGCAGCATGCCGCCCGAGGCCTGACTGGCTGGAGCACGCGGACCTGCTGGACTGGCTGCTGACGCGGCTACCCACAGCCAAGGCCTGCGCTGCGTGGCTGCGGCTCGTCTGCCTGCTGCTGGGGAGCAGCGGACTTCGAGCGCCGCGGACCGCCCTTGCCGAGGGGCGCCGCCTGCCCCCAGCTCCCGCCCTCTGCGGGGTGCCTGGGCAGGGCTCGGGCGGAGGCCGCTGGACGGCGTCTGGGGTGACTCGCGTTCCAGTGAAGTCGGAGAAGAGTGAATTCGCTCCTGTGTTTCATCGCGCAGGGCTCCTGCATCATTGACACCTGCACGATCGCAAAACTGGCGGGTGCACCATTTTGGAGCAGAACTGGTACCCTCTTCTCGTGTCTGGCTGGCAACTACTTGCGAGCCGGCTGGAGGCCTCCCCAGCCCCGCTATGCTACATTTTGGAAGATCTCGTCTTGCTAAACATGATCCAGAATTTGCCAATCGTCGTGCAGTTCCTTTACCTTCGGGGCGTCCGATTCGTGCGGCTACCCGCCGTTCCAGAGAAAAGTTACTTATTGAATTCGACCAGTGGTTACTAGAGATTGCCGGCTACCCTTGTCTGGCGAGCTTGCTGGAGCAGACAATGGGGGACCCTCGCATCATCAACGGAGTTCTGGTTGAGTTTGGCCAGTACCTGTGGCGCGAGGAGGCCCCCTACAGCAGGTTTGCTGACACCGTGAACGCCGTGGCCTCTCGGGCGCCAGAGCTCAGGAAGCTACTCGGGGCTGCGTGGGACCTTGGATACCAGTGGATTGCCCTCGAACCAGGGAACCACCACATTGCTATGCCGCTGGTGGTTCTGAAGGCCTTGACCGGCCTCTGCCTCCTGTGGGGGTGGCCTCGGATCGCGGTGCTGCTCGCTGCGGGGTTCGCTGGCATCATGCGCCCGAGCGAGTTCCTGCTGGCAAAGCGGGCCCAGCTTGCACTGCCGCGAGACATCCTTTTCGAGAGGCCGTACGCGCTCTTCACCATCCAACTCCCGAAGACGGCCACGCTCGGGGCCAAGATCCAGAGCGCCCGAGTCGAGCCGCCCGACATCGTCGAAATGCTGGACTGCATCTTCGGCGCCGCACCTCCTGAGGCGTTGCTCTGGCCAATGAGCGGCCAGACCTTCAGGAAGCGGTTCAACAGCCTCTGCCGGGAGTTGCGGCTTCCTCTCAACCTGGGGGGAAAATGCAGAGGAGCTCTCGATCTTGCTTCTCTCCGAGCGGGTGGCGCCACCCAGCTCTTCCTGGAGACGGATGATCCGCATCTCGTCCAGAATAGGGGTCGTTGGATGTCTCAGAAAGTCATGCTCATCTACCTCCAGGAACTGGTCTCTACCACATATATGTCCGAACTTCCAGTGGCGACCAGGACGGGGATCTTTCAGATGGGCTCTCAGGTATCTTGGATGTGGCCACAGGCTGTTACGTGGGTTCGCGACGGGATCCCTGCTTCGTCTTGGCCTTCCTTATGGTGCTCCATGAGGCCCCCCTCGTGATCCTCTCTTTCATCCGGGTCCCTGTGGGCTTCCAAGAGTCTGTGGTCATCCGCCTGGTCTCGCACTTGTTCGTTGTCGTTTTCAGTTCGTTCTTCCTGTTCGTGTCGGAGCTGAGCCGGGAGCGCAGCGCTGCTGCGAAGAATGGGGTGACGGGTTACTGAGTCTGCCGTGCCAGCCCGAGCCTCCAGAGAGGCTCTGTCTTTCTCTCACCTGCTTGCCGCGTCCGTCTTGAGCGGCGGGCAGGCCTCAGATGCACAGCGGTTGATTTAGACGTCTCTCCGATTGCAGCGTAGCGGAAAGAGAGGGGCGAGATTCAGGAATAGAAGGGCTGAGGCTTTGGTCCACAAAGCTGGTCTCCCGTATTTTCCGCAGTCCTTTCTCTCCCCCGTGGCCAGCCCTCGCCTTGGTTACTGAGTCTGCCGTGCCAGCCCGAGCCTCCAGAGAGGCTCTGTCTTTCTCTCACCTGCTTGC